AAAAATATAAAAATCAGTAATATGCCGATCATGTATAGAAATAATGCCAAAGCTTGGATGCTTATTACCCTTTTCCATGAATGGCTCCAAAAATTTGACTTTCAAGTTGCCCAAAAACACCATGGCCAACATTTGCTTTTAATTTTAGACCAATGCACTAGTCATAAAATAGATAATTTAAACTTACGACACGTTGAAGTTTATTTTTTGCCCTCTAATACAACTTCAAAAATTCAACCTATAGATGCCGAGATTATTATGAGTTTCAAACGCCACTATCGTCACCTACATGTTAGCTGGATGTTACAACAAGTTGAAATGGGAGAACGAGCAGAAGAATTAAAAATGAATATTTTGCAAACCATTCAGTTTATAATTCAAAGCTGAGAAGAGGTAAATTCTGAAACTATACGTAACTGTTGGAGACATACTAATATTCTTCCTGCTACTTATAATGTAGATCTGCGAAATCTTTCTAAGAATATTTCTCAAGATAATTCTGCGCTTGCTAATCTTTCTGAAATGCTTAAAAATATTAAATTTTCTGACCTTATGCAAGCTGAAAAGTTCCTAACTATCCCAGAAGAAAATATTACCTATGAAGTTCCTAAAAATGATCAGGCTATTGAAGAACTTGTAGAAATATTCACCAACGAATGCGATCTAGAATATTCTGATCCTGATGAAGTTGACGATAGTTCAGAGACTCCCATCATCACATCTAATGAAGCACTTAAAGGTTTAGAGACAATTCACCTATATTTACTTCAACATAAAAATACTAGCGAGCATCTAAAGTTAGTTGATAAAATCAAAAAAGTTATTAGAGAAAAAAAAGTGAATACAATGCAACAAGCTACGATTAATAGTTATTTTAGTTAATCTGTACTTATCTTTCAAGACATCAGTAAAGATGTAATTCAACTTAAAGTTACAGAATATTAAATATTCTTTTTATAGATTAGATAACATTTAAAGAATATAAATAAATAAAGTAAAATATTTATTTTATAGCTTTCAACTCAGGCGCGAAAAAATTATGTTACTTTACTAAATTAGCCAGGTCACAATACAAGTAATATGAATAGTTAAAGTAGTGCATACAAGATCATTTGGTCATGTGATATACAAGCAATGTGATTGGTCTTATTTCATGTGACTTAGTTGATGACTTTCTACATACGGGTTCTCTAATTACACACCCTCTTTAAATGCACGATCATGTCCGGTCCCTAGAGCGTACATTTAGAGAGGTTTAATTGTATATACTTTGATCTTTGCTATTGGTTAATTTCTAAATTTTTTAATTAATAAAAATTTTAGCTAATTAAATTATAAAAAATTTAATTAATAAAAAAGCAAAAAATTAAAATTTAATATAAAGTTTTTAAGATAGAACAAGTTATATAATTTTAATTTTTAAATATTATATACTATATAAATAAAATTGTAATATAACTACTAAATTATAAAAAAAAATTATATTTTAATTTTTTTTTTTTGCTTAGCAATTTTGTCTTTATTATTTGTTAAAAAAAACAAATTATATAATATCTGCAATTCTAACTTTATATTGTAATAATTTTATTAAAAATTTATTTATCCTTTTATTTAAAAAAATATTTATTTGGTGCAAAATATACTACATACTTTTTTATAAAAAAATTTGAATTTAATAATAATTAAAGTTAAAGTTAAAATTAAAGTTAAAGTTGGATTTAGAATAAATTTGTAAGAATATATATATATATATATTATAAACTTTGATAGCCTTGCCAAAACTTTATTACAGACTTAATTACAATAATCTAAAAAAGTAAACTTTTCAAAAACTAGACTATTATACATTTGAGATCGTAAGTTTAACATTACCTGACTATATAATATATGTCTAGCTACAACCTGTTACACCAATATCAAAATAAATTAGAAGAAAGACTTTGTTAGCTCATATTAAGCTTAAAACCTTCAAATTTCTTTTTTTACTAAGAGCAAAAGAGAAAAGAAAAGTTTTGGATTAAATATACAAACCAAATATTATAAAGATAATAAAGTAATATATATATTTAAAAAAAAACAAATAATATAAAAGAGAAAAGTTATAAAGAAATAATAATAGAGAACCAATAAATATAAAAAATAAAAAATAAAGAACAAAGCCCAAAACAGGCTAATAATGTAAAAAAGGTGCCACTTTATACAAGTGGCAAAAAAAATAAAAACAAAAAAAAACAACAAAAACAAATTGCACTATTATGACTTATACTAGGCTTGTAAAAATTTTATAGCAAATGCAATATTTCTATATCTTTAAATACAAGCTAAAACTAATTTCTAACTCTATAATTCTTATCAATTGCTACATTAACTTCAGTCCTTAAAAGTTATATGAAGTAGCAATATATTTGTTTTTTTAACAAAACATATAGTTGCAATCTGCCAATTTATTTAAATTTAGAAAAAATAAATAATGATGATCTTTTGACAGAGTAAGCTATAGAGTTTTTAGATTTAGTTTAGTTTAGTTCAGGTTTAATAAACCTAAACCTGGATCTGAACATGAATCACAAATTTTGCAGATCATTGAACTTGAATCTAAACTAAACTTTGAATTTATAAACCTAAACTGAACTTGAATTTATAGTTTTGGTTTAGTTCAGGTTTAGTTCAAAGTTCATAAACATGTTCAGATTCAGTAGTAGTTTAATAACAAAATATAATAAAATTTTTTTTTGTTTTTAGAATTTTTAAATTTGAAGTTTTTTAAAGAAATCTTTTTTTTTTACTAAATAAACCTATTTTCAACTTCTAAGAAAAGTTGTAGAGAAGTTTCTTGTAATTAGAATGTCAATTAAGATATTAAAATCAGTTTAGTAGATTGTAAAATATAAGTATTTTAATTTTTGCAACTATATATTTTCTTCTTTATATAAATAAAGAAAAAAAAAATAACTATCTTTAAAGAGAGATTTACTTTCAAAAATTAAGATTAATAATATTTTGTATAATTTTATTAATAAAATTATAAAAATTATTATAGTACAAAATATCTATACTCAACAGTTATACAAAGTGTTTTAATTTTTTAAATAGTTATAACTTTTTATCTAAGAAGTTTAAAAAAATTTAATCAGTAGCTTTATAGAGCTACATTAGCTCTATATGTGTGCCAAATTTTATTTCAAAATCTCATCACTATAAAAAGTTTTAGCCATTTGAAATTGAAATTTTATATATAAATTTACAAATTTATATATAAAATTTCAATTTTCAAATCGCTAAAACTTTTTACAGTGATAAGATTTTGAAATGAAATTTGATACACATGTAGAGCTAATGTAGCTTTATAAAGTTACTAGTCAAAATTTTTTTAAACTTCTTAGATAAAAAGTTATAGCTATTTAAAAAATTAAAACACTTTGTATAACTATTGAGTATAGATATCTTGCACTATAGTAACTAGCCTATTATTCTGCCAAAAAACAGCCAATGCACCATTCATTACAACACCAGAACAAATGTTCCAATTGAGTTTAATATCTTTGTCTACTTTCAACACTTTTGGAAAACCTAAAGAAGTTTTTCAAATAGTCTCACAGGCACCAATGCTGATTTTTTGAAGATATTAAAAAAGAGGAATACTTATGAAATAATTATCCATATACATATTAAAAGAAAATTGACAGTATAGAAGTTGTTTAACAAGATGGCAAACCAAACATCCTGTTTGATTAACACCACTTACCTTCATTACATCACTTGGAGAAGAAACACACAATATTGGAAAAAAAGTAAAAGTATATCCAGCATTGCAAAGCGATAAAATTTTAAAACCTTCTGAAATTGGTTTGTTTTTAATTTGAATAGTATAAATACTTATTCCAGAAAATCAAAACATCATTTCGTCTACTGAAACATTTGAATTTGATATATAGAGCTGCTTTGAGATATTCCAGATATGCGAAATTAATGGCTTTAGTTTCTTAAAATAATTTTTAACTATTGCATTAGGGAAAGAAACATGCAAATATCACTTAATTTGTTTAAAATGTTTAAAGAGCATTTGTTTAAAAATATTGTTAATAGGGAGTTTTGCATTCTGATTCCAATATTAATTAAGGGATAGTAATTTAAAGAGTCTCTGATAAATAACAAGAGCAATTCAAATGAAAAGCTCTTTAAGGGTCAAGTCTAGCCACTGTCTACCAATACTACCAGCATCTTTTGTTAATATATAAAGGTTTGTATTGGCAACAATTATATTAAGCATGTTTTGTATAAAAAAAAAAAAAAAAAAATCTAAGACATCTTTGTCAAGGTGTGATAGTAGTTGAACAAATGCTCTATGCAGTAGTTTGAGGTAAATAAATGGTTCAAAGTCTGCAGGTGGTGGCAGCAACTTTTGTTGTGCTGCTTCTAATAACCTATATTTCTTTTTTGGAGTATTATTTATGTTTGTTTCTATAATATCCTCATTTTCATTCATATCAGCATTCTTATCTTTATTTTCATTATTAGATTCTAGGTTGTCTAATGAATGCCAACAAACTGTCAAAAGTGGTATATATTCTTCCTTATCATTAGCAATTATTTCATATTCTTCCTCATCATTAGCAATTATTTCAAGTAAAGATGAACTCGAAGCAAGTATAGAAGACATGTTTTAACTTTTTTAAAATTTTTTTATTGTTTTTTTTTTCTTTCCACGGAGTTACATTCACAATATTTGGTTTTTTTTTTTTTAAAAAAAAAAAAAGAAAAAAGAAAGTCATTATTGAAATCAAGTCACTTAAATATATAAATTTTGCATTGTACAATATTTAGGATAAATGCCACTGCATGTAAAAAGTTCTTTCTCACATATGTACATACATATATGTATACAAACTCACTGGTTTATGTAATAGGCATAACAATATGATCGAAAAAGTGTATTTATGAAATGTATGACTAAAGTAAAGCTCAAATCATGCTTAATAGGTTTAAAGCTCTACAATGAATAGAGAAATTTTGAAAATTGGTGTATAGAAATAAAAAATTTTGGTTAAAAGCAAAAAAATTGTGTCAGGTAATGTCAAAGTACAAAAACAAGTTTTAAAATTAAACTTGGTATTTGTCTATTTTTATTTAGATTTTATTTCGTGATACTTCTGCAATAATCATGTAAGTATTAATTAATATATGCGCTACTCTAATTTGTAATACAGTCAAAAGACAGGTTATTACAAGTTCAGTTCTTAATTTTCTTATTTTATGTTTATTTAAAAAAGTTAAACTTTAAATATTACTAAATTTAGGTGTAATGTATGCAAAATAAGAAATATTGCGAAATAGAATTACATGTAATCTGTGCTTTCATTCTAGCTTAGAAAAGGTAGGGGTGTCTTAAAAAAATCTGTAACAATTGCATAAATACGGATTAAAAATTATTTAAGCATCTATATATGGAAGTTTAACGATTTAAGTGATAACCAATATATTTAACTTTACAACTCTTCCTGATGATCACTTGTACCAAATTTTCTACAAATAAAAAACAAAAATTTTGCTAGAGTTAGATGAAGAAGTATATACATAGTAACAGTTTTTATAAAGATTAACCAAGTTTTGCATATCTTGGTGACCCTCTTATATATTTGGTATGCAAACCAAAAGTGTTAGTATACAAAATAACTGGCAGAAGAGAGAGCCTTTGTATATAAAATTTTGAAGAAAGAAATCTTTCATCAATAAAGTTAGCTATATATAACTTACAAGGGGAACAGCAAATGAGGTTTTCAAAACACTCTTTTAAAAATTTAAAGGACATGACTCCAAAACACCTCATCATATTCTCACTTCTCTTGGAGTTTTTTAGAAAATATTTTTGCCAAGCAAAAAGT